TATTTAAGAAGCTTTTAAACATTTGGAAGTTTGAGTTTGTAAAATCATTTTCACAAGAGCTCGATGAGATCATCTATTGGTGTTTGGGCATCCAACTATTCTCCCTCCACCTCTTGATCTATTGAGAAGTTTTCTAAACTCTATTTCTAGCTTTACATCTATTTAATTGATTATCATTTTATTAAAGCTAGTGTTCATATTGAGTTTAGTTGATTTGATTTCACTCATTATTTACACACACCCACTTGAGCTTATTGTATTTGCATACATAGTATATTTGGGTTGGTGAGAATTGTAACATTTGAGTGTGAGCTTTTATTATGTTCTCATCCATATTAGAGAACAACCATTCTTTATATTGTGCTTAATCGTGAGATCACTTTGTAATACACTTGTACACCGAGAGGAGTGTGTGGTGAGAGTCGGGGATCATTCCAAGAGGAGTAGCGTCGGTTGATGAACCTAGGGAGAGGTTGTAACCGAGCACTTGAGGGAGACACGGCTAGGTCCAATACTTGTGAGGGTGTAGAGTGGGTTTGCAAGAGTGTGAGTTGTAGAGTTTTCGGTTAGCTAGAAAACAGAGTGTGTAGAAGTTCCGGCTTCCAAACCGGATTGTGATAGTGGATTTCTCCCCGGGAGTGGGGAGCGGAGACGTAGGACGGAAGGTCCGAACTCCGTGATCATATTGCTTGTTTGAGTTTGGCTTAGCACACTTATATTTGTTCATCTTTATAGCCTTTCTCTCATTGTTTATTTCATCCACTATATTATTTGTTTATGTTACAATTGTGTTCGCATATCCTTGCATATATCATATAGTATACCTCTTTGCTAGGATATATCACCTTGTGTATATTGCATATTCTTGCACTTAACTCTTTGTATATCTATATTGCAAGAATATATTTGTTAATTAGTTTTAATTGGTATAAAATCGGATTAGATTAGCATAAGACCCTAATCACCTCCCCTCTAGGGTCTATCAAACACCGCATCATTTGCTATCACATTTTCAGTCTGTGACTTGAAGTAATAGATATAACGATTGGGGGATCCCATGCCATTAAAAGCCTGTAGGGTTGGGACCTTGAACTTTGAAGGATATGTGGCAGCATCACATTCAGAAGGATAGGGCCTAACAACCCCCTCCTCTTGGAGTTCGCTTCTATTTGTAATGGCATTGAGGTGGGCCTCCAATTCCTCCATCTTAGTAGATTGAGAGTTTTGCTCATTTTTAGTTTCCTCCTTTTCTTCAGAGGAAGAACCTGTGTTGTGGATTTCTTGGTCGGAAGCAGTATTATCAATCACTTTTTTCTTTCCCTTTGATGAAGATGACCTTTCCTTTTGGAAAGTCTTATGCCTGGGTGGGGAGTTTGCCCTTTGGGGTTTAGTTTTGTCTGCGACCAACTGGGCCATCATGTTTCGAAGTTCATTGATGGTTTCTTGTTGTGATCTGAGCATGGCTTGCTGCTCATCAAGTCTCTTTGTGAGATCTTCGGGGCCTCCTGCCATATAAGCGAAACTCTCATGTTCTGCGGAGGAGCTAGAGGATTAAGACTCTACGATAGCTGAATGTTCGTCATCAGACTTCATCCCTCTATCTAGTCTTCAGTAGTTAACAAGGAGTATGACTCCTTTCCGCATCCGAGTACGTCGAAAAATTCCACCAAATCCATTCAAAGCCTCTTTCAAGCCATGGGGTTGATCCTCCTCTGACTCGTCAGAGCTAGGGATTGGTGACCTCCTCACCCCGATCACATTAGAAGTGGCTCTAAGGTACTCATCCTCCA